GGTGATCGAGTGGTACTTTAGGAAAAATATATACGAAAATTAAAATTGTTTTATGACAATGTGTTATTTTACTGGTATATTTCATCAATGGACATACTTAGATGAACGAAGCAAGTAGGTGCAATATCTTAGTTACCTTTCTTACTATGGATCATACAAAACAGGTATGCCACCTGACATGGGCTAACAGGGGTTCTCAAAGTCCTTGTGACTGAACACCTGTGACACTCAATGCCATTTTCAAGAAAGATGTTCTCTCAATTTTAAGGGGTGATTTGACTTAAGAACGTAGTATTGTCTGACATAAATCTTTTTCTAAAATAGAAGTAAATCTACAATTGGAAATAAAAGATGTTGTCTTATAGTCAGTATTTAATTATTTAGAGATTTAAGTAAACTGTAGGATAGTTTGCTATGTGCTTGAGCATCATCAATGTTGCAAGAGTAAATAGACTTATTAATCTGTTTATTTTGTTAACTATTTCATCACCAGTTGATCTTCATAATGAGTGTAAAAGTAATCACATGAATAATAAATATATTCAGTTGATAATACTAGACCAATAACTAAACATTTAGATTATTTTTATATGAAAATATTTGTTATTATTATATGGTATATTTTACCATATTATAAGTATGTCTAGATACCATGTTGATCATTGAAATCATGTGAAAAATATCAATATACTTGAATGAAAATTACAGAGCTACTACAGTTGTAGTTGTCGATAATAAATCCAATAATCAATTGATAAAACATTTACAAGTTTGTTTATAATGTTGGAAAAAATTAATATTTGCATTAAATAATTATTTTGTCATTTTCATTTTGTAATGGGGAATAATAAAACTATTGAATATTACAGATATAAATTTGTGTTAATAGATTCAAATGTAACAGTTATTTGAGAAATTTCCATGAATTTTAAATTGTGTTTAAAATTTATTTTAGCTTTTTCTTTAATATTCAGTTTTTACATTATCAAATATTAAATCCCTCTATGACTTATAAATCTATCAACACAGAAACAATAAGATGTACTAAATAATCCAGTTGCTAGAATCAAAAAACTAAACATTAAATTGTTTAACATTATTAAAAAAAAAATCTTCACTAGCTTTTGCTTTAGCAACCATTGAATTATATATGAATTTATTTATTAAATATGTTTTAGAAAACCTAATTATTTACTCATTTTTCATTCTATTATTCAAACAAAATCATTATTAAACTTTCTAATTTTTATGAAAAGAAATTTCTAAATTTTCAACTTTATTTTTCGTCGACTTTTCGTAGACTTGCAGTACAACTAAATCCATTGACCCGACGCCTAAATTTCTTAATTTTCTACTTAGGAGCCTCTGCCCTATTAGTGACCATCGTATACAATGTGCCAATATAGAAAAGACCATCATTTTCCCAAGAACTCAGGGAATTTACAATTCTTTCTCCGACAAATCTTTATAAAATGTTCGTTAAACTTTAAAATTCTTTCGTAAATTACCTTACTTAAATTTTACTTTTAACATTCAATACAGATAATTTAAGTTAGCTAATAACTGTTTTGCAAATTAAAATGATTTGAATAAAATTTAGTTGGTACACAACATATTTATCAGAATGTAATTGTCGGAAACCCTAGCAAAATAAGCAATTTATTTGCATGGTCAAATCAAATAGTCAGCAATCAGATATCTTTAATATTCTATTCGCAATGGCTTTTTGGAGATATACAGTTTCTAGCTCTTCTGTAAATAATTTAGTAGTGATAAAGGTTCAAAAATGTAAGCAGTAAATTTATTATACAAAATATAATTAAGATGTCATTTAGCATTCAATTATGGATTCTTTATTTTAGGGAGTTTTTCCGATCAATATTTTGTATTAAAAAGTGTTATTAAGTATAAATATTATACTTAATTAAATAATTAAAAATATTTAAAAAATATTGCTTTATTATTTTTATTGAAAAACTTGACGCAAACATGATTGACAATTAATATCATTTAAATACGATAATAATCGAGCATAATACATGAACAGGTTATTCTTATGAAGATTAAAAATAATATTTTAGATAAACTGCATTTGTTGGTTTAGTTGTTATCTTGATAAAACCATAAGTTTATATTTTTAAAATGTTTCTATCATAAAAACATGTATTACATAGTGGAACAACGTCATTGATGCTCGACATTAAATTGACATTTTTTTTATTTATTTTTACTTTTGATGTCTGCTTCAATAATGTCACAAACAGATTCTAAAAAAATATATTTTAAAAAACGAATCGTTATTTAGTTTTTATTTTCATTGTTTTTTATTTCGCATTTTTCAAATAAAATATTAATATGTTTTTTTTATAAAAAAAACTCATTTAATCAATAATTGATTCAAGCATTCAACAAGCTTTTACTGAAAATTGAAAAAAATGCATGAGAAAAATTGTTATTAATGAATATATTATATTAAAAACAAATTTTATTCTATTAAATATAATTTTTTTCAATTCGCATTTTTATTATTTTACTCTTTAATTTTAAAGATAATTTGTTTTCACAATAGTAAATGTTAATAAATCAGTTGAGTATTTGTTATTTTATATCAATTCTATTCTACAAAATTGAAAAATAAAATGGAAAATAATAAAGCTTAAAAAAAATAGTGGTAGAGGTCAAGCATCCTTAGCTTTCTTCACGGTATCGAATCTACACTATTCACACAAATGAAGTGATTTCTTTTGTGTTTATTTCCAACTGTTCTAGTCGAGATAAAAGCATTTAAAGAGATATAAACGATTTCAAAGCTTAAACTTGAAGCTCTTGGATATTTTGGAGTTCGTTAACATTTAATCATTTTTCCCTAAAACACTCGTATTTTACAACTAATCCTTATTAAGGCCTACATCAACACTGATAAACACACACATTTTCAGTTATAAAAAATTCGAATATTGGCTTAGAGCTGATTACATTGGATTGTAACATATTACTGACTGGTGAAATGTATCTGATAATGGCAGGTGATCTAAATGACTGACTAAATACTACCTATTAAAATTTTGTATTTGTTATAATCCAAAAAAAAATGCAAAGATTAAACAGGATTTTTTTAATTCGTACGTTGTGATATTAATTTTCAATATTTTATTGATATTAATAAAAAAAAAAATGATAAATGCCATTTTTTAAAATAATTTTACAAACATTTAAAGTAAACAGTGAAATATCTGATATTATTCTAAAAACTGTTTGAATAACTTTTTTTTTATATGTGAATGTGGATTCATTTTATACGATTCTCTGTTTACTGAAATAAGATTAAAAAGTATAAAATTGAAAAACCATTATATCACAGTATTATTAAAAAAAAAGGAAAAATGAATCTATGTTTAAATTTTTTCAATATCTTCATTCGAATTAAATTCCACGAATCTGTTGAAATAATCTCCTAAATGTAATGCATATTTTTTTGTCGTAAGTTTAGGTAACTAAAAAAGGTATTATTTTTATCATAAAAAGCCTTTTAGTTCATATGAATGCGATGAGTATGAAAGTTTTAATGATATTGTTGCAAAAATGTAGTTGAATAATCTAAGTACTTTTCAGACCATTTTGAAGCATGAGGAAATATTGATTCGATGAAAATATATTTCGATCTTCAAATACATACTGGAACGAGTGTATAAATACGTGTATACTCTATTACCAAAGATGGGTAAACTTTGATACTTTGGAGTAGTTAAAGTGAGAAAGTTGATGTAGGCCTACTTAATACTTTTCTCATTCACCTGATGACCAACTATAAATCAATTGACTGAACAGCATTTGCTCGCCTCTGCTCTATAACATATTCTCATGTATGATATCATTATATAAGTTTAGAAGTTTTAATGAAATAAATTTGAATTGTTCTTCTGTGATATTTTTTAGCAATTGTACAGAAAGTAAATTTCACTTGAGTAAAGGGTGACTATTTAGATTATTTAATTAAAATAAAAATCAATATGTAAAGTATATGTATGATTTTAGAACCTGATTGCATAAAAATTTTTTAGATATTTATGTAGAATTGGAACTTAATCTCTAATTAGCTCCAAATTTTTTTTTAAATATTAAAGACTACTTTTTAATGTGAAGAGACATTTTCTAAAGTTTTCTACCCAACAACAGTCTTATAATTGATAGAAGCTAGAACTCTAATTTTAAAAATAAAAAAAATTATTATAAATTATATAAATGAAACATTTCAAGGCCAAGGCCATTGGAAAATACGTTTCTTTGTTATATGCAGTTTTTTTATTAAACGAGGATAGGTTGATCGTGGTGGGCTTGCAAATTGATTTGCTGCTATTAAAATTTGTTGAATGAAAATTTTTAATTTATCATGTTTATTTGAATAATGTTTTTAAATACTACGTAAATGCAAATGAATGAATGAGTTGAGTATTTGTAACAGAAAAGAAGAGAAAGAGAAAGTAGAATTAAAGACCTCAGTGAAAGTGTGACCTGAGTGTTGAGGGATGCAAGTCATTAACCACAAGTCAAATGTTCAGTACGAAATTATTACGGTCAATTCTCACCTGACACTTGAGTATATTTTCCAAAAATCTATTATTTCAAAGTAGCTGTATATTTTTACTGTTAAATTCTATCAAAATTAATTACTGAAAGCTATTTCGAGATAGCTAATATGCACTGATTTCCCAATAAAAATCTACTAATGTTTAAAATACACATGGCAATTTTCCTTCCATATTTTTTTTAGTGTAAATGAGAAAAAATTTGCAACAATGCTTTTTTTTGTATTTTTTATATCTAAAAAAATGAAGCTTATTTAGTTTTCATAATTCAACGAATTTTTTGCATTTTGATCACAGCTAAATGATATAATAAGAAAATACCCAGGAGGATTTCATAAATAAACGCGAGAGAATGAGATAGGCCATACCAATTAATGTAGCATACCGATGGTAATAATTATTCGGAATACGTACCATGGTAATGACCGTCTTGATTGCTTCAGCGGTCGCCTCTTCGCTTGAGGGTGTCTCCACTAAGGTACTACCTAGATATTTCAGGGTGAAAGTTGCCTCACCAGCCTCATCATGATCGTCATGAGTCAGTGAGCTTCCATTGCTGTTACCAACTTTATTGCTTCCATTGTCAACACATTCGCGACTATTTGCTAATGCCCATTCTTCACATAATTCTGAAAATATACAATCTCTATATCAATATTATCTATAACTTCGGAAGTGGTAGGTGTAGTGGAGTAGTAATACTATCTGTTATTTCTCTTGAGAATTTCTCATTCGTATATACGCTGTCAAATCATGTAGCGAAAGAGATAGAATATGAAATAGAGAGAGAAATCAAATGGAATATTGAACTCTTTGATGTTAAACGCGGATGAGGAAAAAAATATTCATGTATACTAGATGAATATTTTATTCTCGCAAAGAGAACATTTTCTTAGCTAACTTAGTTGTTCATTTTCCCAGAAAAAAACAGGTGCTCTGATAACCTTAGGTACTACCCTAAATACAAATTTTTTTAATCTAAAAAAGTTGTAATGAATTACTAAAATGACTGCTTTTAGGGAAGTATGAAATTAATGCTATAAATTTTTTACTTTTATATCTATTACAACAATTTATTTGTATTAAAGTTTTATATTTAAAAAGTATTATATATTTTATCTTTTAAAAATTATTTTACTTTTATTTATTGTTTATTTTAATGGATTTTTTTACATAATTGATTAAATTTATTTGGTATACAAATTGACAGTTAAACATGGTAAATCAATATGATGTGATAAACTCATAAATTGTAATAATTAATAAAAAAAAAAATTATTTTGTCATGTAAATTATCATATTGAACCTTATTCCATTCAATTTTAATTAATTTATTTAGTAATTCAATTATTTAAATGTTATGAAAATTTTACATTAATTGTATATTTATTAAAAGTTTAATTAAATAACTCACTAAAATTGGTTTTCAGTTTTAGAATATTTTTTCAATAAAATAGTCCAAAAATCTTTTCCATTAACTTTTGAAATCTTTTTTTAAAATTATTATTTAAAAAAAATCCAATCACACTTGATTGTTTGGAAAAACCATTTTAATTATTCTCTTCTAAGTAAAGTCAATAAACATTAGTAGTTTATACTCTACTAAAAGTCTTGTTTAAATTGTGGAATACAATTTGAAACATAAAGTTCAACGAGCAAAAAAATTGTGCCTTATTTTTTGTCCAAGAATGAATGTGTTGATGTAAATGTCATCAAATAATAATTTCAACATTTATTCATAGATAATTAAAAGAGAACAAAGAATGAGGAAATGTGAGATAAATCTTCAATTCTCCAAAGTTTATTTCAGTTATTTTATAAACTCAATAAAAGTTTCGAATTTATTCTCTAGTAGAAATCCGCTTATAAATTATAAAATGCATGGTAAAAAAAAACTTATGACGAGATATATAGGGTTGGAAAATAATATTTTGTTGCACATTCTTTTCTTTACATGCCTCAAACAACATAGTAAAACAAGTGTGAGAGTTATCTCATGTGCATGAAACATGTTGTAGATTATTCGAAATTTCATGTCTGCACTGAAACTGCTATACGTAAGGGGTGTAGTTGACATAACGTTGGACAGAGACAAATGTCCATTCGTTGGCTCCAGCAAGTAAGAGATGACCGGATTCTATATCAAGGCAACTTAGTCTTCGTCTATGTCACTTGAGAGTAGATTGTGTTGTCTCTCAACATTATGATACATCGTTTTAATATATTAAAAAGTCTAAAACATGTAATGTAACAAAAAGACCTACTTTCTTTTACTTAAAACCACACTTACTTGACTTTAATTGATAGAATTTATCTTTCTAAACATCAATTATATATATTTGTTTTATAAAAAAGCATTGACTTCACTCGTATGGAATATGGCAAAGAAAGAGTAATGAGATAGTCACGAGTATCATAAATTTAACGTCCAGACAGTTTTCTACGCCATGTTAAACGCCTGCCTGGTGTCAACAGTGAAATATTAAAACAGTAAACACATGATACAACAACAGCATGTAAAAAAAATGATATATTTTGAGTTAAATCGAGAGGATATTCATTTTTTTTAATTTTTTGAGAAATAAGATATACAAGTTTATAGAGATGAGAAAATTTATTGAAAAAGCTTTTAAAGTTCTTATCATATCAAAGAGGCAAGATTGTATTTCATTTATAAGAAATTTATTATTATCATCAATTTTAAGGATAAAGAGAGCAAACAGTTGAATAGGTGAACAGTTAAGAAGCTTGATTCGAGATCAAAGGACAGATTGGAAAGGAAAAATGTTTGAAAACTTCGGATCAATTATGTTGACCAGGTCTTTTTTATCAAGAGCTTTTGATTGAAACGCTAAAAATAATTTCATGTATAATGCTGATTTTTTTTTAAATTTAATAATCTGTCTAGTTAGTAAAATTTTCGTTGATTGATTGGTATTGACTTTATATCATTGAACATACGATTGGATTCATTACGTTGTCTAATAAAAGAAAATGTTTTACTTTGACTTCATATTGGAATGTAATTCGATACATTTTAGCTTTATACATTGAAGTATTTTATTGAAAAATATTTCAATCCATCAGTCGAAAATATGACTATTTCAGTGTAAAAATCATCTATATTGGTACTTTGATGTATTTATGAAATTTGCAAATATTGCTTCCATCATTGATTTCTATATAATGGGGAGAAAAAACTATTGAAAATCAATCATATTTCATGAATATGTGAATAAACTGAATTTTAAAATTAAAAAAAAAACTAGAGTGTTAATATTCTAGAGTTGGAACTTATGATCAACTAAAAAAGTGAAGTAGTAAAAAATCCTAGTCATTTTTTCACCAGTCTTTTTAATATAAAACTACTGAATCAATGAGTGAATACCCATGAGTCAATGAACAAATCTATTCATTTAAATTGGAAAATTCTTCCAGGAAAACTCGAGGTTGAAAGACCACTTGGGACGAGATGGCTTTTTAAAAAATGCGAGAATACATTTTTAGAATTTTTTGCAAGCTGGTCAATATGTGGTGAATTTGCTTACTTATAAATTCATGATAAAAGATGGAAACTAGACCCATGTGAATCTAGAATAGATGAATAGACATCAACAGTTGGTGATCGATTCGAATTTTTAATAAATCAACAATACATTGGATTGAATAAGCAAGTTGTGGAAAATATCAGATGCATTTCTAGTAAACAAAAGACTTTATAGAAAGTCTTGAGTTACCAAGTATTAAGATTCCAGAACAATGTTTTGATCATTTGTATGGATAAACACATTTCTTATCTCATGAATACTAGCACGTTGGCGTTGATGATTATGATTATGCAATAATGTTATTATTCCTTGACATAATTTCTAGTGAATCTAGGTTAAACATATTTTTGATATGAAGTCTGAGTGATTTAATAAATCAAGATATTGCTCGATTATTCTTAGGGAATAGTATTAATTATATCTGTCATTAATTATAAATTTAAAGATAAAATTACTTAATTTCAACCTCAATTTTAAGGATCAATAATAAATGGCAGAAAAGATATTTTTAGACGATTTATGAGAAAATATAGTACCCGTATGAAAAAATTTTGTTTCTCAAACGTTCCCCTCGTGAAACTATATAATAGGGAATGTTTAGGGAACAAAATATTTTAGAAATGTTTTCTCTCAATCATATCAATGGATTTGTAAAAACGAAATCTTTTTATTGCAGTACTTAAAATCATAAATGGAGCATGATTTATGTTGAAAATTGGAGCAAGTACCTATTTTACCCCATTTAAGGAGTGAAATAATTAATTTTTCACATGTTTGACCTAATTACGTATATCTACACATCAAGACGAAGAGAATGAGTGGTCGATCATCAAAATCGAACAACTTTTATTTTTCCACCCTAAAAATGGCAAGTGGTACCCCTTTCCATTTTTTTAGGTCAAAAAAAAAGTACTCCGATTCTGATGATTAACCACTCATTCTCTTCGTCTTGATGCGTAGAAATACGCAAACCGGGCGCCGCTCGAAAAAACACACATTAACACCCTCAAAAAGGGGTAAAACTGGAAACACATTAAAACTCATCATTCTTTTGACTTCATACCCCTATGGCTCATGAACGGACGGCTCAACGACCATTTTCAGGGACGTTTGAAGCAGGTTAAAATCTAAGCTATTCAACGTTATCCATGGATTTATTGAGAAAAATTTTCTTCACCCTTAAAATCGCTAAAATATAACAAAAAATACATTTTTTTGCGAGTTTGCCAACTATTTTGGCAATTTTGAGAGTGGAATAAATTTTTTAGACGTTTTTTATGTATTTGTATCTTTAGCTAAGATTCTGAAGTTTCCGAACATTTCTTAAAAATCATCATTAAGCAATTTGTACAGAAGTTATAGAGGTCCTAAGTCAAAGTAAGGGTCAAAAAATCATCTACTTTCGACTTTGATTCTCTATAACTCGCGGAAAAATTATCAGACCATGATTTTTTTATATATTTTAGCGATTTTACGGGTGAAGAAAATTTTTCTCAATAAATCCATGGATAACGTTGAATAGCTTAGATTTTAACTTTCTTTAAACGTCCCTGAAAATGGTCGTTGAGCCGTCCGTTCATGAGCCATAGGGGTATGAAGTCAAAAGAATGATGAGTTTTAATGTGTTTCCAGTTTTACCCCTTTTTGAGGGTGTTAATGTGTGTTTTTTCGAGCGGCGCCCGGTTTGCGTATTTCTACGCATCAAGACGAATAAAATGAGTGGTTAATCGTCAAAATCGGAGTACTTTTTTTTTGACCTAATAAAATGGAAAGGGGTACCACTTGCCATTTTTAGGGTGGAAAAATAAAAGTTGTCCGATTTTGATGATCGACCACTTATTCTCTTCGTCTTGATGTGTAGATATACGTAATTAAGTCAAACATGTGAAAAATCAATTATTTCACTCCTTAAATGGGGTAAAATAGGTACTTGCTCCAATTTTCAACATAAATCATGCTCCATTTATGATTTTAAGTACTGCAATAAAAAGATTTCGTTTTTATAAATCCATTGATATGATTGAGAGAAAACATTTAAAAAAAAAAAATTTTGTTCTCTAAACATTCCCTACTATATAGTC